ACTGCCAGCAGGAGGAAGTGGCTGATGTGGCTGCTTTTGGACATTTGCTGGGGCTGCACATGGAGACCTGCTCATGGATAAAGGACAGTGAAGAGTTAGAGGAGATACATGTAATCATAATCAAAGCTATTTCCCAGACACCTCTTCTGTAACACACATGGACACGCTTCTGTGTTTGAGAGTTCTGAGGTTTTCTTTTTAAGCTCCCCCCATGTCTCTTCTGGTATTCTTGGATATCAGAAACCCTCAGCATTTCTGCTGCCCTCTCGTAGAACAGAGTTAGTACCCTGAGATGACATGATTGGAAAGTGAAGAGAGATTGTCTGTCACTTCATTCTGTTTTGGAGTTTCTCTGGGCTTTAAATTTTTTATTTTTTCACATGGAGGATGTTCACAGTCACATGTTTTCCTGAAAAACCTCCAGGTACCTTGGAGAGCAGCTGGATCCCCCACAGCCCAGCTACATTTTTGTAGCCAAGGACTCACATTGCTCATTCCACCAACCCAAGAGCATTTTCTGTGTCAAAACACCTCGGCCTTTCCCCCTGGATCTTATAATTCAGAGATGACCTAGGACAGATTTGCACCCAGGATTGAAGCTCCCAGCTTGGACTGAATCTCAGGGAGACTTCCAAGTGTCCTTATGATGGCATTGGATGAAGGGAGATGCAGCTCCTTGCCTGGCTGCACTGCCAGCATTGCCCAGAGCCGGGCACTGGGCACAGCGTCACCCTGAGCCAGCTGTGCCCCCTGCCAGAGCCCCCAGGGCCGGGCAGCTGCTCTTATTCATGCTGATTTTAGTAAACCTCTTCTTTTGGTTCCTAAAAGTCTCAGGTTCTAATACCTGGATGCATTTAGATCAACATTTTCTTCTCTTTTTTGGCATATTTTAGAGGACATGCAAAGAAAAGTCTAGGCTTGCAGGAGTGATACCCAAACGTCAAGTATGTTCTTGACAGCAGATAATTCATTTTCCCCAAGGATTTTCCTTCTCAACTGTGTGAGACTGGGCCATTTTCAGGCCAGCCTGACTAAAGGCTGATTTTCTAATTGCAAGTAGAACAATGGAGCTCGTTCTGAAATACCCTCCAACAGAGCTGTTAGAACTAAGAGAACTAATTCTTTACATGTCTTCACAGAGGACAAATTCATATGGCAGCCAAGCAGTTGGAGAGGAATCCCTGTCATAAAACCGGATTCCTTCAGCCTGCAGAATGCTTCAGTCAGTAAGAAAAGTGAGACAGCTAAGGATTAATGGGATAGGTCATTTCTAGTCCAGAATTAGTCCAGAAAAAATGTCACCTTACTTACTGAGCAATACTTCTCCCTAGCTGCACTAAGCATTCCAGCTGCATATCAGCAATTCAAGAGTCATTCCAAAGGAGCCGCAGACAGGATTTGGCAGAACTAACCCTGAGCAAAGGGAGCAGGGCATCTGATCCCTTCTTCTGCATCAGCAGAAATCAAGTATTTCTTCAAGTCTCACCTCTCCTCTCATGACACGCCCAGAGATGGCAAAGGAACAACAACGGTGTCATTGAGGCTTTCAAGAGCTGGGAAGAGATTTGTCATGGTCAACCTGCCAGAGGTGGCTTTGGGCTTGTGCTGACACAGGATGACAGACTCAGACCTTGCATAGGATGCATCCATTTGGAAGGCTCTTTCTCCCTAAATGGAACATTTATAAGGACATTCTGTCAGAGCAGGTTTCTCTAATTCTGCCAATACAAATCCAGGCAATGTCCATGAATCTCCTTCACATCTCAAAGGGTTCAGCTCAGAAACTGCCCCAAGGAAAGGTTTTCTGCTTCAAAAGCAGGAGGAAGGAGTGGCAACATTTCTCATTTCATGCTAAATGCCTTCTTTTTCCCTACTAGTTGTGACACTAAAAAGACTGAAGGGAGATAAAAGGCATATGCAGGATGGTGAGGAATGTTTCCTTTTCCTGCACTGCATTTCCAGGGCCCCAAGGTACCACTCCAGCTCCTGCCACTCAACACTTCACACTGCAGGAATTTTCACTGCACCACTGGAGCACACTCCCAGGGACTGGGCTCTGGAAGAGTCCACTGAGCCCATCAAGCAACTGAAACACATTTAAAAAATTTTTTTAAAGAATGAGTTTTAACCAAGCTTTCCAAATGTCACCTCTGAGTGGCACTGGAGGGATCTCCTTACCCTTCCCTCTGGCACGGAGGCAAATCCCATCCTCTCCTTGTCCTCCCTTCCCCAGGAAATGTGCAGAGGACGGAGACCAGGGAGGACAAATCCCCATAGCAGGGCCTTGTGGAAGAGGCCATTTTGAGCACCTCCATGGCACAGGAATAACCCCAGAGATCCCACACGAGGAGGGATGCAAATGCAGCCCAGGGTGCTCTGAGGAGGAAAGACCTGCCCTATGCCAGGAAGATGGACAGAGCTTCAGCCAGAGTTGGGAGCTGGTGGTGCCTGAACATCTTCAGGATGGGAAGAGGCCATACAAGTGCTTGGAATGTGGGAAGAGCACCAACCAGAGCTCCAGCCTCCTCATCCACCACTGGGTCCATACCAGGAAAAGGCCCTACAAGTGTGGGGAATGTGGGAAGAGGTTTCAGAGCAGCTCCAATCTCCTGCTGCATCAGCAGATTCACACAGAGGAGAGGCCCTCCTGCTGCCCCGACTGCGGGAAGGGCTTCAAGCAAAACTCCACCCTCATCACCCAGTCCAGCCACACTGGGGAGAGGCCCTATGAGTGTCCCAAGTGTGGGAAGAGCTTCACCAGCAGCTCTCACTTGACCCAACACCAACAGAGTCACCGGTAAGGGCAGCTTAGCCAATGGCCCAAGTGCAGGGAGAGCTTTGCGCACTGCTCCAGCTTCATCCCCCATTAAAGAACGCATGTTGGGAAGAGCTCTGGTGATACATTTTGCCTGTAATCCATGTTGGGAAGACACCTGTCCATTTTCCTGCCTCTGACAATGCCATGATGTGGGATTGATGAACATGAGGGTCTGGCCATGGCCATGTCATTACATTCACTCCCACCTCAGGTCATTGTCAGGGGCAGGAAAGAGAATCTCTCTCTCTCCCTGAGGAGAAGGGTGTCCTTTCCAGGCAGGGGGAGATTGTGGCTGGGAAGAGACAGTCAGTTTTGTTGTAGCTTTCCCTTTTTCATATCCTTTCTGTTACCAGTATTCTTTCTGTTCCTCTTTGTTCTTTATCTTGTTGCTTTCCCATTAAATTGTTCTTATGCCAGCCCCGGATCTTTGCCTTTTGTGCTTTCCATGGGAGGTGGGAGGGCAGCGAGTGGCAGCGCTGTTTTAGCGGGAGCAGGAAATTAGGGAATCCCATTCCTAAACACCGGCCCCATGGAAACCTCCCAGAGCAACAGGGGGGAGGGAATGGGTGCTATGGAAACGAACCATAGCTACAGGGGCTGGTGATGGT